ACCTTGGTGCAGGGCAGTCTGTGGGGCGACCACGAGGCCGCCCAAGCATGACGCGGCGGCCATCTTTGATCCCGCATCTACCGAGACTCCAGGGACCATGTTCCCCCTCCTTTACCCTCGGCGGTCATCTTTAATCTCGCGTCTCTCGAGATTATGGGCGGCCGTTTTGCTACTCTCGCTCACCACGATTTTAGCGCTCGAGAGTAACATATACCTGAGCTGTCAGCTAGCCTAGCTGCTCTCGTGGCTCACAATGCTCTGACACGGACGTTGGACTCCAGTCCCAAGTTCGAATACAGGCAAATTCTAACTGGCCTGTTATTTACAGATTTGAGTGGTTTGAGGTACTGGATTCCTTAAAGATACCATTCTTGGACCATTAGAGGGAACTCCTTAAAGGGATACCACCCTTGAATTCCTTAAAGAGATAGCACCCTTGGACACAGACTGTCAAGATGGTACTGTATAAGTACATATCAGTGATGGGAGATTTGAAGGGATATCACCTGGTTCAGGAATCTACAGCAAGATTCTATGTCTGGTAATGTATGCTCAAAGGGATGACCCCTATCACTTAAGACTACCTGTCAGAACACGACAGACGGCAGAGCTTAGAGCTAGTGCTATATCCTATTATCCCTCAGAGGTCAGTCAATTTTGTCTCATTACGGCCATATTAGGCACTAAAGGGCTTATTACCCTGTGCCTGCCTGGGGTGCTGCCCCTATTACCATGCTGCTTTTTGGAGGTCGCCTTGTGGCCACCTCTGTGATCCTGGGTGAGGCCCAGTTATACAAATCCCAATATTGGGGTTTGCCCTGCTGGGACAATTTGACAACACTAAATGACAGATACAGAATACCCTGCCGGGGTTATTACACCTTACTGTCATTTATACAGACCCTGCTGGGGTCCACTGGCATTATTTACACTACGACCGAAGGAAGTCTTATGGCAACAGCCTCTACCTACAGCTGAAGGAATACCTCCATTGATAATGAATCATGATACGGGATGGGTTTATGCCCTGTACCTATTCTGCGGCCTGCTGTTAAAGGCCCACGCCCTATGCACCGGCACTGCACTAAAATGCCGAACAGAGGCATGCGGTTACAACCGCTGAACAGGAGTTCCGAGCCGCCTGCTTAACGATATATAATCCCCTTGAGGTGAATTTAATAATGGAAGAGGTGACTGACACTCTCTATCAGGGCGATGGCCAGCACTTAAGGGTTCATACCCTGTGCACCCGGGGTGAGCCCCCACTATACGTGTGTCGCACGGTGCTGCTGACGGATGGTTGGCTGAACTGGGCGCCAAGATAGTCGGAACCCCAGACACAAGGCACAAAGTTCCAAAGGGAACTTATTAGACACGCAAGGGTCCCACAGCTTTCATAAGGGCCCAAACAGCTAGGAGGGAGGTGTTATGCGATTACCTTTACAAGGGATTCTTTGGAACTGGTTGGCAACAGTGCCGGTCGTCAAACCACTTCGGGACATCTGACCCGAGATCTGCTAGCTCTATTACCCATATAGAGCGAGAGTCAACCAATGGTGCTCCAGATAAGCGGACAATGGTGCTCCTACTACATCCACAGGGGATTTCACCACATCTAGGGGAAAGGCACTCAATCCTGGGGAAGACCACTTTCACGTAGTCAACCGACTTGCGTTCAGGACCTAAAGACACGTCAGGACGGTCTTCTTCCTTCCTTCCTTCCTTCCCGCTTGACCACCTTACCCAGTTTTCAGGGGACATCCTCTAGCTAGCTCGGAGCCTGGTAAACCCTGATAAACTACCGAAAGAAGTAATGAATAAAGGCGGGGAAGACAAGACACTCTTTTCCGGGAGAACCTCATTCATATCACTCCAGGGAACTGAAAACTCGTCAACACCCACGTCCATCCGAGAACCGGCTGGAACCTCCAGACTTGTAGAAGACTATTCGCACGACTCTCCGCGGCACCACCGCGACCCTGTACATTGTATACCTAGACTTCTTGGTCCTATACTTCACAATACAGGGATTGATAAAGAAGTACTAGATCGGCTGCACCCTACTGCAGGTAACCACAGATTAGGCGGTCAGGTTTCACATCCACCGGGATGGACCAACTCACGTTTATCAGACAACATGTAGGCTCCTTCAATCCCATCGTCTTCACAGAAGATCAACCCGTCTCCCGAGGGAGACACATCTCATAGGGGCCGACTGATTTGGATATTACCACTCGTCACAATATAAGTCGAGGCACGATGGTGATCGCGCTCCGTCCGACCGGACCTCCCCGAAGGACTTATGCTTCTCATGCTTACAAGGTCTGCAGAAATTCTTGAGCAGGCGAGGATCTTCTCCTGCTACATTCATGACCGACAATTCCTCACGGAGCCATAGAGTACTCACATCTTCTATCCCGGGAGGGTCGGCTACCTGGGGACCTGGACCCGCTTTGGGGGTTTTCTTGGCAGGTCAGCGGACGATCGCAGGCTGCCGGGGACCTCTTGGGAATCTGGGAACCCAGGAATGCGATGACCCTACCCCTACATCTGGACATTCCCAGCCTGTCTGGTTCGGTCCTGTATCTTGATCCCTTATGTGAGGATGGAGACGGAACTGCAGCCCGTATCACTACCTGAGGACGCCTAAGGGACTAGGATCCTCTAGGATACCAACTACCCAATGTCATGCCTCTCCAGCCTATGAGTTGTGGAAGTCATTCTCCTTTCACTCTACGGGACTAAACATCCTGCTGACAAATGGTCAGACTTGGTCTTGTATAATTTCCCGTTAGATGGTGTATACGTGGGTGCTCAACGGGGAAGACCTCCCCACAACGCCGAATACTGGGTCTCTCGGCACACCGTAGGACTCTTATTTAGTTCTATACTCTTTTCTCAGCGTAAAAAATGCAAAATATGAAGCCTCCTGTCATGTGGTAAAATTTAAGATTATGCTAGCTTTAGTGTACTAATAATCTTAATTTTAATAATGACAGGAGGCGAGTATTTTCCCCCTCTGCTTCGCTGCCCACCCTTTCTATTTGTTTGCTTTGCAGATATCAGGGGCTAAGGTAGGTTTGCCTCTCACATTGGTGCTTATATGAAATGTTCGTACTTCCATTAATATGGAATCCTCATTAGAGTTCTCATTACAATTACTCAGTTAATAGATTATAGTTACTATATTCTCCAATGGCATGGTATGTTAGGTGGTACGTTAATTGGAGTTACATGTTCGTGACTGTCTAAACCTGTCACATATTCTCTTTTCAGTATGATTCGCCTCTGAAGATAATTGGCAGTTCACGTGAAACTATTGGAGATTTTATCCTTCGGATTTGTCTCAATCCTGAACTCTTTTTCGTTGGAGTTATTATTAGTTTTATTATTTGCTATATATTTACTTCTGCTTGTTGTCGCTTTCTGAAATGATGAGGTCACATTGCCTTATGTACATCCTGCTCTCCTGTGATTGGTTCTTTTTTCTATGTGTTTCTTTACTGCTGTATGGAGTTAGTAAAGAGAAATATGCAAAATACTCGCCTATTGTCATTATTGAAATTAAGATTATTAGTACACTAAAGCTAGCATAATCTTCAATTGCCTTTACCACCTTAGGTTAAATCTTTTACACAACACAATAAAAATGTACCTTAATGGGATACTATGTCACATGTCGACCTTATACCCTAATAAACATACTTTCATTTCATCATATGAAATTAAAAGCATACTAAAAAGGTATTCAGGTAAACCTACTTTCAAGTCATCATATCAAATTAAAAACATTCCTGTGGCTCAAACACCTAAGCGACTCCCTATAATAGTGATATATTTAGATCATTATCTGATTTACTTGACTTCTCTCAGTTTGAGTCTCATAATAACCTAGAAATTACAATTGTAATATAGTTGGCATAGTATGGATTCCTTAGACTCAGAGAATTTAGTAGCAAACGCTTACTAAAACAGAGCAGTGTTTAAAAGTTGACCATTTTATAAAACATTCAGACCATTATACAGTTTGCGTGCCCCATGCAAAAAACAGCCAACTGGGCCAAATTATCGAAATACTAATGTACCCTACACATAATAAATTGTACCCCAGGGCTGCCATCAGATATTTTGGGGCCCCTGACACAGCTCAATGTCTGGACCCCCCCGAGTCCACCCACAGGGCCGTCCCCACAGAGATGCAGTGTGTGTACTGATTGTGGTGTGTGTATAGTGGATGTAGAATGTGTTTAATGGATGCATAGTGCATGTGTAAAGTGGATTTGGTGTGTGTGTAATGGGTGCAGTGTGTATAGTGGATGCAGATTGTACATTTGTTTAATGTATGAGATGTATATTAGATGCAGAGTGTGTCTTTGTGTAGTGGATGTAGTGTTTGTGTGTATTAGATGTGGTGTGTATAGTGCATGCAGAGTGTGTGTTTGTGTAGTGGATGTAGAGTGTGTGTATAGTGAATACAGAGTGTGTATGTGTAGTGGATGTAGTGTTTGTGTATATTAAATGTCGTGTGTATAGTGAATGCACAGTGTGTGTTAGTGTAGTTAATGCAGAGTGTGTGTTAGTGTAGTGAATGCAGTGTGTGTGTTTGTGTAAAGAATGCAGTGTGTGTGTTTGTGTAAAGAATACAGTGTGTGTGTGTTAGTGTAGTGGATGTAGTATGTGTTGTGTAGTGTGTAGTGAAGGCAGAGAGTGTGTGTATAGTGAAGGCTGTTTGTGTGTATTAGATGCAGTGTGTATAGTGAATGTGGAGTGTGTGTTTATGTAGTGTGTGTGTGAAGTGGATGTAGTGTGTGTTTCTTTAGGTATGTAATGTGTGTAAAATTGGGGGGAGGGGCAATTTAAATTTTTAAACCTTTTTTTTTTTTTTTAAATACATTTTATTTTTTAACTTTTTTTTTACTCTGCCCTCCCTGCTTCTTACCTGGCCATGGAGGGGGAAGATCACATTCCCTGGTGGTCCGGTGGCTTGGTGCTCTGAGCCAGCGGCTGGACCCTGCAGAGGGGGCCCGCAGCACACTCTCACTTCCCTTCCCAACAGCTCCCCTGTCTAACTCTCGCGGCCTGCATGCTGAGCGGAGTGTTGCCATGGAAACCCATGGTTTGCTCTGTCGGTCGCAGAACGAGCGAGATTTAGACAGGGGAGCTGCTGGGAAGAGAAGTGAGAGTGTGCTGTGGGCCCCCTCTGCAACAAACAGATAGCCGGGGGCCCGCAAGTATGTGTATGATTGCCTGGGTGCAATCCTCAGCGTTTAGATATATAACAAAAAAAACATATACAAGGAGCACTCACAGGTCTTCATCTGAATGCTGATTTATTCTAAAGTGCAAATTACATGTGCAATCGACGTTTCGACCCTCACAGGGTCTTCTTCAAGATCAAATAAACAGTGAAACAGGTAAGTATATATACACAAACAAATTTACATTGATAACTTACCAACAGGTGTGTGGGAAAAGAAAACCGCCAACTATCCGAAAACCGGAAGTATCCCCAAATGATCATGTGACCCCCTAAACCCCCCCATACTATTGCGTGACCAATGCACTCTCTGTGTGCCCGAACGTGGGCTACGTAAGTACGAGAGACCGCCGAGCATCCAAAACCCGGAAGTGTAACTATGCAGTCACATGATCTTGTTGCTAGGCAACCTACAAAGCTGCCTCCGTGTATAATCTGACGTGTATGAAAGTGTGTGCATGCACAAGTGTAAAAAATAAACATTACAAATAACGATATAAAAATTGAGTAAAAAAATATATATAGATCTCTGTCCAAAGGAGGATCTCAATACTTAATGTATCCATTAATAATGTGGGAATAGTACACCAAAGTGTCAATTATACAAAGGAACATAGGATGCAACATCCTATACCCCACATCTCCAGCATCTATGGTATAAAACTGAATTATAAAAATTAGTTTATCAAAGCTATTTTACCAAATCAGAGTTCCTGCTAATAATCTGTGCTCAATACGACCATCCATAATATAAATAAGTAATGTTGAGCATGTCTAGTTGCAAAATATATCTAGTTACTTCCCCACATAACCACGTCTCACTTAAAGATATATACCCTGTAATATTCAGGGAGGAGATTTTATATGTATACATAGTTTATAATACTGCAATATTCTACTTGCTAATGCAATACCTCTTTCCTAGCAATATCAACCAGATTCATATACAGAATGTAGTATGTCTCAATCTTTCCATGCATATACTCATTGACAAATTATTCTACTATACATCCACACCCATAGTTATTCAAGCCTACATACATTCCAATTCACAGGAACATTGAATAAGTGTTATATTCATTCAATCCTTTAGGTGTAACCGTGTCCAGTTTAAAAATCCAATACGCTTCTCTTTGAAGCAAGTGTTTAGACCTGTTACCCCCACGAGGTAATGGTGGAACATGGTCAATAGCCACAAATTTGAGTGTTGGAAGTCTATGTGAAGCTGCCAAAAAATGCTTAGCTACTGGCTTGTCCGTTCTTTGATCCCTGTATGCTGTCAAAATGCCAGATCTATGTCCACGGATACGGTCCCTTAAAGTTAGGTCTGTCTTCCCCACATACGAAAGACCGCACGGGCATGTTATAAGATAAATTACATGATCCGTAGTACATGTAATATAATGGGATATACTGATTATTTTCCCACTATGTGGATGAGCAAAGGAACTCGCTGGAACCATATGGCTGCAGGTTACACAGCCACTGCATCTATAACATCCTGGCTTATTATATATTCTGTTCTTCTTATAACACTGGACAGGGTCACTACGAATCAGAATATCCCTGAGATTCCAGTTTCTTTTATAACTAATAACTGGGTTTTTTTGAAACATAGGAGACAGATGTTTATCCGAGCCTACTATAGCCCAGTGTCTATCGATTGCTTTCCGTATCTGTGTGGATCCTGTGTGGTATGTAAGAGGTAGGTATATATTCGAGGTATCCTTCATTGACATCTGTTGGATAGACTGGCTCTCCTGTGTCCATTTTTCAATTGCTCGTTTTTTAGCTTCCTCAAGTATTTTCAAATTATACCCTCTCTCTTGAAACCTGCGTGTCATCTCTACTAATTGACGTTGTCTATTTTGTGAATCAGTATTATATCGTAGTACACGCATGTATTGAGACATAGGTAATGAATCCTTGAGCCTTTGTGGATGGAAACTAGTAGCTGCAAGTAGGGTATTCCGATCCGTTTGCTTGCGATGTAATGTATATCCCAATTTGTCACCATCCTTATATATCGTAACATCCAAGAAGGAGATTTCTCTCTCACTATAGGCCAAAGTGAATTTAACAGGTACAGGTAATTCATTGATATTCAATATCATCTCCTCCAATTCACTCGATGAACCCTTCCATAATAGAAACACATCGTCAACAAAGCGATAATACGCCAGAATGTTATTAGGTACTCGATTAAGGATATATTGACTTTCAAATTGAAACATAAATGCATTCGCGTATGAGGGTGCCATAGCAGCCCCCATCGCTGTCCCAGACAACTGTAAATAAAATGATTCTTCAAACTTGAAATAATTGCATGTGAGTGCAATCCGTAAAAATTCCAACAAATATTCAATTGGAGGTCCATCATATTGCTCAGAACTTTGAAGTATTTGCCTCAAAGCATCAATGCCTTGCATATGAGGTATAATAGTATACAAGCTTTGGACATCCAATGTAGCTAATATTATATTATGATCCTTTAACGAAATTGTTTCAATTCTAGTCAGAACATCCTGAGTGTCCCGAATACACGTAGGTAATCTCTTAACAGTCTCCTTAATATAAAAGTCAACATATTTGGTAATAGGCTCTAATAAACTGCCTCTAGCGGAGACTATGAGTCTACCTGGAGGTTGTCTGCTATCTTTATGGATTTTAGGAATGGTGTACAGTACCGGATGTACTGGATGTTGAACAAATAGATAATTAGACATATAAGTATTCAAATACCCCAATTGTACACCCATCATAATATGTTCTTTTATTAGTTTTTGAAATTTATTGACTGGATCAAAAGCCAATCTCTGATAGGTGGATATGTCCGATAGTTGCCACATAATTTCTGATCTATATTGCTGATACGATACAATAACAATAGCTCCTCCTTTGTCGGCAGGACGGATAATGATATTGGGGTCTTGTTTTAAATCTTTTAATGCCTCCCATTCACTCTTAGTTAGGTTTTGCCTATGATCCATCGGCTTTTTAACAATTTGTTCAAGGTCGCTCCTAAGTGTTTGCATAAATGTCTTTATTGAGTTATTGGTAGATTTAATCATTTATATATTTAGTATGAAATGGGTTTTTCTGAGTTACCGGTTTCTCAACCTTACGGTGTTCATTAGAATTAAGAATATGTTGCAACTTGTACAGCTCCACCTCCATCTTAAATGGATCCGGTTTAGCTACCGGTACGAATGATAGACCTTTGGATAGGACTGAATAATGATCTTTAGTAAGTATTTTCTGAGAAAGGTTAAAAATACTTGTTATTTCTTCCTCAGAGGTGGTCTGCCCCTTGAATTTATATTTCTGTCTTCCCTTTTGTCCTCTGCGTGGTATTGCATTTTTCTTATGCCTCTGGTGTCCATACGAGATGTCCCTGGAGAGTCCTGTGGAGAGAGGTGAAAGGTGTTTGGCTGGTATGTGGTCTACTGTCTCTCGATTCTGCGTCTGATGCTGATTCACCAGAGCTAACATCAACCATTTGAAACATAGGTTTTCTAATCCGATGTTTATATCTTGAGGCTGGGTCTCTATATGAGGATTGTGTGCCACTCAACCATATATACACCTGATGGTATTGATAATCGTGATTGACTTTAACCGATTTCTGATTCTTGAACCGAATAAGTTCATTTTTGTATTTATTAATATCCTCCTGCAGCTTTAACATTTGTGCAGTTGCCGTTGCTGATTGAAGAGCTAGTGTATTCATGATTTCAAATTCCTGTATGGTCTGTTTGACTGCAATTAGCTCCTTCCCAACCTCCTCAACCACTATAACCATCCAATCCAATGAACACTTGTTTGCAATGTTCATCCATTTTTTACAGAACTCAGGGTTCTGTCTCCCTATAGTTGGTGCGTTTCTGACTCTGAACCCTCGTGGTATTCTTTTAGCGCGGTAATAATCAGAAATAAAGATACCATGCAGGTCAAGATCCACCTCCCGTCTCTTTAATTTCATCAAATCATTATACAGATCCTTGATGGTATTTGTATGAGCCAATTCATTAGCTGTACGGGGCCATAGTACTGCTTGTGCTTGAACATCCGTGATAGTCAGTGTTTCTGCAGTAACAGCTAGAGCCCCAGCTCTGGAGTGCTCCTTGTATATGTTTTTTTTGTTTATATATATAATCTCGAAAATATAGGACCGCCGGGCCCAGGACAACTGTCATGGCTGTCATGCCCTGATGGTGGCTCTGTATGTAATATTTTAGACTATTACTTGTCTGCAATTCACTCTTCCTCTAACCAACAATTGTTGTCACTTCACGGCTCTATTCTAACTACCACTAAATTTATGTTGTATGTAAGATTTTATTGTTTATTAGATTAGGCCTAAATCCTACACTTTATTCGGGACACCCATACCAGATAGAGTCAGCTTCCACTGCTTCTAGTAAAACATGCCAGTCCATATTATTTAGAAATGAGAGCACTGGAAATCTTCAGCATACTGTCACTATATTTCTCAACTGAATATAGAACTCAGACAAACAAGCTTTCCAGGGTTTAATGGAATAATTGTGTTTTGTTGATTTAATAAACTATGTTTTTTGCATACATTTTTGCCCTCTTTACTTTACAGGCCTACTGGTATATTGTTATTTTTTTTTTTTTTTATAGCTTACGGCCTTTCGTGTCTTAACCACATATATATATATTTAATAGAGTGCCAAACAGAAATATACACACACCAGTAAAGCTATAAGGCTTTTCCCTCACAAATCTCACTTTAACTGTGCTCTCACTACCGCAAGGGATTCTGAATAGGCGTATGCAAATGAGCTCAACAAAGAACCACATTTTTGCCTCATAATTCCACTTTATACATGGATTTCTTGGAGTATGTGTCTGCTGTATACAACAGCTTTGAATCACAACTCAGGAAGGGGAGCAAAGCCAATGAACCACTCATGGACAGCTGTTTCGTTGTTA